CGAGCGCACAAACTCCACAACGGTCTGAAATGGCAGATGTGCTTTCTAGGAGAAGAACTCCATCAGATGGTGGGTCGGTCATGTGTCCGGCTTGACAGACAACCGGGGACTTCAAGATTTACAAATGGAGTTTCGCTGGACGCCTAACGCCGAGCCAGGCGCCCAAGAACTCGCTGAGGTGATCAAACGATTGATTTACTTGGTAGGCGTTGGAGGCGGAAAGCGGAAAATATAGAATGTTTGGCGAGTGTCGAGTGGCATTCATGGCGCATCCATAACAACAGCAAGTCGGATAACGGACGGAACAGTCCAAACGATCTCATTTACCAACTGACTGTTTGATCTGGTATTAGAATGTCTTTAGGCGTGGTTTTCCATTCAGAGGGACAGGTCATGATGAAAAAGTAAATCATCTCTTTGTTAGGGTTAATATGGACTGCAGTTCACAATTCTTCCATCCGAGTTAGTTGGCAGATTTGCTTTCAAGACACTAGGAGGTCTGTCAACTCCTGACTATGACTGCTTGATAAAACTGATTGTCACGATAGCCTGACGAATTTACGGTATTAAATAAACAGAGCTTTGTCAGATTCTCAATAGTCACCTTTTAATAGTAGTTTTTTTTCGTAAGGCTTCGGGGCAGAGTAGAGTTTGCTTATTCCGGCCAAACTCTTTCAAGACTCGAAGCTGCCATTCATTGAGGAAGCGATTTATCAGCCTAGGCTCGAAAGTTGCTTGCTTGGATTTTGCCTAAGTAATTGGAGCATCGTCCGTGTCAGTGGAAGTGCAATCCTGAGTTCACTTATAAGGAAGGCTAAGCCTATAATACGGTTGTTTTGCTGTGCATAACCTAATGGACAGTTTCCATGCTAGGCTAATAGAAATGCATAGGTGGACCATTACACCGTGCGAGTTTTGTCAAGTGAATGGAAAAGCATCGCTTTCGGATCCGATCGCCAGAGAGAAATCTCTCTTAGTCACAGATGCCTCGGGATTAATAAAATTAGCGGAAAATAT